ACATGGTCTACCTGTGGTTAAACCACCACAACATGCCAAAGTCACAGATGTCAGACCACTACATAGGAGTTAACTGTGACATTTCAGAAAGCTTCTCCCAAAAGCTCACTGTACATTCAGATATGGGGTTCTTGCTCAGGCCAACCTCTATGAATTAAACTAGATGTGAAGTCAGGCAGTGCACTCAGAGGAAAAGAACCCTCGCTGGGGGCTCAAGCCATTTTTCCACCTTCATATCCCTATGTTATGTAGCTTGAGCACACAGGCAGAAACATCCTGGTGCATGAAGCTAACCCTCTGATGAGGGTGCCCTGCAGCCACTTTGTCATCTTCTCCTACCCTCATTCCCAGCCCTACCTGCCAGGGTGGCTACAGAGCACGACTTGTTTTGGTCAATCAGACACACATTCCTAGAGTACAGTGTAACAGACATCAGCTTACAAGTAGCAGATGCAGTATAAACCATACTTTTTCTTGTGTTCTGCCTCTGCTTTTGCCTTCTTCTTTTCCTCCATGAGCCTTGCTCTCTTTGCTGCTGCTTCTTGGCGCTTCTTCCTCCTAGCCTCCAGCTCCTCTGGGCTCAGCAAGTGCTTTCTCCTGGTTGACTGTTCCCGGAGGCCTGTGAGAAGTGTCTGGAGAAAGAAGGAAGTAGTATCATGGAAGAAAAAATGCTTACCTAAAAGCCATGTCTGGTGCCCACCTTATCCTACACTCCTTTCCCATTTGTCTACTTGTTCACAGGTCTTAATCATCAGATCGGAATTGTCACATAATATGTGGTTTTGTGATCTAAGTTTATATTGGTGCCCTGCACATCATATCTATCATTTGTTATCAAAACTGCTGAATTGTCAAGCCCTCAAATTCAAGAGCCAACTTTACTACACTGACAGCCAAATCTTTTAACAAGCCTTCTGCAAGCTGTAGGTAAAAGAGAGAAAAGTGTTGGCCTCATTTTCCACAAGCAAATGAAAGAGCATCATGTGCCTTGTCACATCTTCTGTCTTACGTTTGCTTTGTTCCGGAGAGCTCTCCCTTCCTTACTGGTCTCTTCAGTCAAGGCTTTCTGAAGATCCAAAAGCTGATCAAATGCTTTTTTGTCTTCTCTGCTGGGTGCTTTTGAATAATCTTTGCCTTCATACACGTACATGTGATCTTTGAAAAAAAATAATTTAAAAGTGCAAAAAGGAACTGAAAGCCACTAAGATCTACAGCGTACAGTGACATCAAAAGAAATTTGCCTTCTCTGTAACACTGTTCTACCCTCAGCAGAAAAAGATGTTCACTCTCATCATTTTTTTGTATGATCAGTGGCAGCATCGTGTAGAAACAACAGAATCAAGATTTACTTCCTTAGGCAAAAGCTTTTCATTGAAGTCATTTAGACTGGCAAAGAACCTTTTTTCCTATTTCAGTCAATTAACTATTTTAAGCTCTGGCTCCATCACTGTTCTCTTTGGTCTTTCCATCTCTGCCAGGAGCGAATTCATTTAGCTCTGCTATCTAGTTACAGATAACTCTTAAAAAATTGATAGCAAACTTTTTCTTTTGAGCTCCCAAACAAAATAAAAGCACAGGACTCTGGCAATCCAGAGTTACTGCTCATCAAGTGAGCTATTTTCCCCAATAACTATGACACAGTGTGCTACCACTGCTCCTCTTCAAGTTACAAACAGAAAATACCACTCTTTGCTAAGTCTCAGCAAATAATTACTTGTTGCCAGCAAGTGCTGTGGGATGGATAATACCCAGCCTGCAGGGCCATATTCCTGCTTCAGTCACAGATCTATATTTAAGTGCTACTGTGTACTCAAAACAGAAATTCAGTCTTTCTCACTGTGATACTAGAAGAGGGAAAGTATCCTGAGAATTTATTCTCATATAGTATGGAGCTATGAAAAACTAACCATAATTGTGTGACATTTGGACTGGAAGGTAGAGTACTGAAGACAGAGTAGGTCTGTTCTAGTTGTTTAGACACCATGACTCTGCATTTCTTATCTCACACTTTGAAACTTTTTAAGGTCATTTCAACTTGTGATTTTCATGGCCAATAATATTTTGTTTGGAGATAAATACAAAGCATCTGCTATACAGCCTTTCCTTAAGTTACTGTTGTATCTCCAAAACTGTAGACCTATCTTAATGTTTCTCTGTGGGGAAAAAGAGCAGCTGCAATTTGAATATTTCCCCTTTTCTCATGAATTTCATCCGATGTCTTAAAATATTTGAAGCACATGAAGGAATTCAGCCCCCTAGCCACCAAAACTGAGCAAGTATTGTTACCATTACTTTACAAATAGGTGAATAAAGACACAAAAAGAAGAAAAAAAGTAATAAAGGCTCAGATATAAAGCTCATGAGTAGGCTAAACAAAATCCAAGTCACTTAATTAAAAGTCCACTTTTCTTCTTGTTGCCTGAAATATGCCAGCCCTGCCTGGGAAGCCTTCTCTACCAGCACCCAAGTGTCACGCATTTCATAGGTATTTAGATTCATAACTTACTCTCTGTATCCTTCTCTTCACTTTCTTCTTCACATGGCAGCACAACATCCATCACCCACTTCCCTCCTTTTGTCTCTCCAAGGATGTTTTCTAGCTCCACATCCTGTACAGTACTCCCCTCAGAGGACAGCAATTTATCCAAGCCAAATTTCAAGATTTCACTCAGCTTTAACAAACAGAAGGGGAGGTTCAGTATTAATATCTCCTAATTCCATGTCAATCCCAGTGTCTTGAGCTTCTCAGGCTTAAATGGAAAGGATGTACAAGTGGCAAAATCTAAGCCTTAATGTTACCAGTCAAAATACTTATGCTTTAACACACCTAGTTCTCTCAACACCTGACAGGACAGGCCCCTACAACATATCTCCCTCGAACACAACTCATCCAGACTTGAACAGTCATTTTTCTTTGGGGCTAAAGGACAAAACAGCATTGTATTGACTGCATTCAAGCAGCTTTCTTCATAGGCAGAAAGACTGGGCTTGTTTTTTGCCCCCAACTCCTCTAACACAAAAGCTTAAATACCACAAAAATCTATGGGGAGAAAAATATCAGCATGGAATTTCCTATGGGCTCAGTTCCACTTCTCCCACGGAAACTATAATTGCTGAGATACATGTTGACAGGATGGGGAAGGGAGGTAGCAGGGGAAAGGATACAGTAATTCCAAACCTCTCCCAGGTTTAGCTGCACACAAGGGATATATTCCCCTAAATGTCACTTTGCTTGAGGTTTTCAACCCAGGTTCTCAGCACAAACCTCAGCTTTCAGGTCATAATTATAAATCATGCTTCGACACCTGCGACACCGTATTTGCCAAAAGGTCAACAGAAGGTTGACTGAATTTCAGACTAGCAACCAAAAGCTGACTAAGTACTTATCATCAGCTCTGTTTATGAGGGAAAAGCATCACAGACAGATAAGTTCTAGAAACAATGAGTCAGCTTCCACTTTAGATTGGTTATAATTAAAAAAAACCAAACAAGTAAGACAAGGGAAGGGTCTGCCTTCCCTTCTTCTCCAAGAAAACACACCCTTTTTCAACAATGGATGTGCCTCCAAATTGTAAAAATTGTCTTCAAATATCAGATCTTGTCTGGACCTGGGATGTCATTTTGGTTCCTAAGGCATGCAAAAGCTGTCATGTCAATGCACACCTCCCCCAAAACAAAACAAAACTGTTTGGCTAGGTTCATATCAGACATAAATGCAGAAACACTCTGGGACATTTCTAAAGGTGTTACTGGGGTCAAATTGAGGATACAGCTCTATTTTACCTGTAACTCTGCAGCTCCTTGAGGCTTGGGTGCTCCCAGAGCAAACTGACCTCCTTCTACAATGGCATTTGTCAGCCGGAGCTTAGAAGCAGCTCTTCGGTAGATTATTTCTTCAACTGTATCTCGCCCAATCAAGCGGATAATTTTTACAGGCCTTGAAAAGTTTAAGAAAATTCTTATTATTTTCTTTTTTTGAGTTGTACTAAAGCTGGTTCCTTGCATGGAGCACTATCCCCTCACCCACTCCTTTAGTAGGGGGAAAAAAAGCAAGAACAAAATCAACAAAAATAATCAGCAGAAATGCAATGCTGATATAATTGCTACTTGACACAGCAGAAACGCTCACTGAAGAAGTGCAGGCAAACCTTCAGATTCCCTCTCCTACTCCAAATCTACAAACCTCCCACCCTAGACACATGACAAGGACAAGACTGCATGAGGCTGTAACAGAAAAACAAAGACATAAAATCCTCTCTGCTCCCCTTCTTTGATCTTCAATCTATTGTACTTTAACTTTCCATTGCCTATGGATAGGGAAAGCAAAACTGAGAGACCAAGAGAGTCAGCAACCAAACCAGAGGTAGCAACATTTCTCACTTGTGCTGTCCAATTCGGTGAGCTCTTGCTATTGCTTGCAAATCATTTTGTGGGTTAAAATCACTATCAGTAAAAATAACTGTATCTGCTGCTGTCAGGTTCATGCCAACTCCACCTACAAACAAAGAAGAAGGTCACAAAATATGTCACCAGCTGAAAATAAAGAAGAAGCTGAAGCAGGTATGCTATACAAGGTTCTGTCAGATCTGATCAACTGTATCTAATTCAATCCATCTCTCAACCCCAAATCTGAGTCTTGTAAGGAGCTAAAAAGATGGGTAAGCCTTCCATTTCCAGCTCCCAGCTTTCTGCAACAGCCCGAAACCAAGTTGTACTGTGCAACATAGTCAAAAAAAGATAGGGTGCAATTGAACCAACGCAAAGGGGACTGGTTGTCAAGACTGATGAACACAGACATATTCTTCCGCAGGCAGGCAGGCAGATTAACCCAGCAAGGACTGGCTTCACTGAGGCTACAAGGGACTTCCAAAGTCATGACTTGGCTGCAGCACAGAAGCAACTGGTAAATAATCTTCTGAAACAGTGGAAAATACCAGGCCCAACCATACAATAACCAGAGCTTAGGTATTTACATGACTTGAAGTTTTTGAGGTTAGAATTTGGGCTCTCATGGAATGAAAAGGAAAAAAAATACAGTTAATTATATTTTTTAATACCCACTATTGTGACTACACACTGTAGTTAAAGGGGGGGAGCCTGCTGCCTTGCATTTCTTCTAGCTCATGTCAAGCACCTCATCAGAACATCCCTGCAGGTGGAGACAGTCATGCACCTGAAAAATCTCTGTCCATAACTTAACAGCAATGGAAATAACTGTTAGCACACCCATTTGCAGTTGAATACAAGATGCTTTGTCCAGACACAGCAATATGCAGTAAAAACCAACTGTAAGCCTGGCTGACGTAGTCAGGAAGAGTTTAGGCACTGTGGTGAGAGACACACTTAGTCCCACCATCTAGCATTAGGTGCTGCTCTTCAGTCTCTTTACATACTCCTCTCAATGCACTGCGGTATCACTGGAGCCAGACTCACCCAGGAAAAGTCTGACCAGAAGCCCAAAGGAAGACTTAGTTCAAGTTTGATGCTTGAGATTAAGCAGTGTGGATCCCTACTCTGGAGACAAACATAAGCTCATCTCTGTGCTTGCTTGAATAGAGAGACAGGGAGGTTTGAAACTGTGTAGAAGACACAGATCTGCCCGAGGAGCTGACAGGGGAAGAAGCACAGATGGCAGTCCCATGGTGTTCTTTGCAGTCTCAGGACAGTAAAAGGCTCTCATTTGAGTGTGTCTGCCAGCTAGAAAGTGTGTCAATGTTCAGTGAACTCAAGAAGCAATTCCACCAGCTTACTTAAAAGAAGTTTGTTCCCACAAGTCTGGTGCTTGCAGAAATAAAATGTTAGTGAGATTCCTTAAGCTCAACCTGGCACAGGGACAGGCATTATGGGACTTGGAATAAAAAAAGTAACTCAAGCGGCTGCAATATGAAAGTATCTTGGCATCAGCTGCCACAAGGAAAGCAGAGAAACCAGATGTCCTAGCTGAGAGACCCAAGTTTAAGATGTGTCTTGTCTCCCTCAAAAATCCCCCACATGAATAGGCTCTGCAGGATTCAGAACTCCCTGAAATCTTGCCAGAGAGAACAAAAGAAGAGTACAGAACCAACATGGTTTGTTTGTCTCTCCCTTCCTTACTTACCTGCTCTGGTGCTCAGTTTACAGGGAAGATAAAGATGGGCTGTTGACCAAAGTTCTTAATGGCAAGGTGTCTCTCTTCACCCCTGACAGAACCATCCAGCCGCTCGTAGCTGTAGCCTTTTCAAACAAACAACATGTATGTTTCTAAAATTCTGTCTATGCTCTTACCCTCTTACCTCATTCTCTATTGTCTCACTGTTGTCCTGAATCTTTTTATGCCAAACCCTCCTGCCTCGATTCTCATTTTATTGCCTTCAACTCCATTCTTTCCCAGTTAAACCTCATATAAACTGAAGTAGTGACCCTGGTGTCCAGATTGACTGTTGGCAAAGGGTAATTTAGTTGAGTCTGAAGCAAAGACTCTCAGCATTTAATTTACTGCTTGGAAACACAACAGGAAAATTCAGAGCCAAAGTTAAAGAGCATTAGCACACAGTCTCATTTCAGACTATGCTGTGCTGGCTGTTGGCCCCACAAAACAGGCCAACAACCATTGGATCCTCCTTATGCAAACTCACACAGCCTTCAATGTGGGCTTTCCTGTGAGCAAGCAGTATGGGATATGGCCCTACATTTGGCTTTATCCTGCATTATTAGTTGTGCAAACCCATAAACACCAAACAAAAGCCTCTTTCATGGGAAATCCTAAGTAGGCATGGAGCCATGTGGATTGAAACAAAAGAAAATGTCCCAAGAACACTGTGCTAACCTTGCCAAAAATGGTCTGATCCAACCTGCCCTCATAGACATGTTGGGGCCCCACTGCCAACAACTGTTTTAATCAAAAATTAATTTCTTGGTATGAACGTGGCTCAATTTGTGTTCTGTGCTGGACAAACTGAATCCAGAGCAAACCTATTGCCTTCAGTGCAATTACTTCAGGAGTCAGGTACAAAATTGAACACAGGTATATAAAGAAACATTGCTACCCTGCCATCTGTTAGCTCCATTTTATCGAGGAACCAAACCTGAAACTACTTTGAAGAACAACATTTAAGTGCCAGCTCATTTCAGGCAGGTGGTAACACAGCAAAGAGCTGAACTCAAGACCCTCCAACTCACAGCGCCACTGCAAGAATATGGTTTCTTTCTACTAAGAAGCAATAAATCCTCATCACAGTCCCTGCTTCATCCCAGGCAGATCTACCAAAATCAGAGGAACAATATGTGTCAGAGATCATTAGGATAAGCTCTTTGCTGCCAAAGCATGGAGAACTTACCTCTGTAGTCCATGTAGTCTTGCAGGATATCAAGCAGCTGAGTCATCTGAGAAAAGAGCAATACACGGTGGCCACTGGAAGATGAAAATGAGACACCATGAGCCTCAGGATACTGTGACAACATCTCACAGAGTGGCAGAGGGGTTACAATAGCTTAACCAGTCACTGTCGGTCACTGTTACATGGCAAGACCTCACCAGCTCTGTACACTAAGCCTCATGATCCATTCCCTCACCACATTTTCAGCCCCATTACAAATGCAACCAGTTGGCTTTGTCTGCCACCACCAGTTGCCATGTCTAGAGCATGGAGTCACAAGGAGGTAACCAGGCTCTGGCACAGCTCTGCTACTGGCTGGATGCAGCCTGCTGAGAATGCAAAAACGAGCCTCTATAAACAAATCCTCAGCTTCAACCTAGCATTGCAAGGTCTTCCTCACCACATGACCTGCCACACCAGACTGCTCTCAAGTCACACACTACAAAGCATCTTAAATGCTGGGAAAATGTAGTATCAGCATCTCTGTGACAGTAGAGCATTTCCTCCTCCAGCAAACGACCTTCAAAGATCAAACTCTGCTTACAATCATGTATTAAGTGAGAAATCTGCTCTCCTTCCTCCCAGCTCTAGGCCTCAGACAGTGCTCTGTGTAAATCAGACTTCACTGTAGAGCAGAAAAAAGGCGTTTTCAGGTCCAGATTTTGCACAGGGCTGGTCTTGTGGCAAAGACACTCAAGGGAGAGGCACCTATTTGCAAGGTGCTATACAGCAGAAGAACAAAGACCTCCACAACCACATCAGAACTTCCCAAGGTCTGTTGAAGCTCTGTCCTTTGGAAGTAGTCAAAGGGAAATCGCAGCCCAATTAAGAGAGAAGACAGAATTTGTATCATGCAGGAGACACTGCTTCACAGACTGCACAAGAGTGCAAACTGCAGTTTGATTTGCCTCTCATCTGAGAGCCGGAGGTAAATATCCAAGGCCCTTGGGTTCCAGGTTCTGAAGTCATCAGGGTTCAACACAAGGAGTTCTGAATGACATTCCCAAAGCTCAAGTTTCAGCTTATTCGTGGTTTTTGGTCCAGTCAAATTTCTTTTTTCACATTTGCTACGCATTCTGCCTCTGGGGCTAACACAGGCATCACACTAACGCAAGGGAACTCAACTGATGGACAGGAAACCCAGGGTCAAAACTAGGTACCCTGAATATCAGGTCAGATGGTTATTCTCCCAGGCTCACAAATATGAGAACATGTGAGAGAGTTAGTGAAATGTTTTGAGAAATGTTTAAAGGGAAGCTACAAAAATCTTTGAGGTTCCTCTACCATCTCCAATGCAGTTCCTTATACTGAAATACAGACTTCTTTCAGGTAGTCAGTAATGTGTAGTAAATAGGGCAGTGCTTGCATTGTGATGAATACCTGCTCAATCTACAGCTAAATAAGGTAGTTTGCCTTCCCAGTTTACCTCTTCTCCATATGTCAACCCCACCCTACCTTCCTCATCCCAATGTGACATACCCAGTGTGCAAGAATGAAAGGAGTTTATCCAACAAACACAGCTTGCCGCTGGCTTCAACAATATGGTCTCCAATTTCAAAGGGTTCTGGCTCAACACCTGAAACAGAAAGGAGTTTCACAAGCAGACCTAATACTACGCAAGTAACAACTCTGGTCAATCTCAGTGGGTCTGCACTGCCAACTATTGCCAAGCAGACCCCTATGATGCTTGCTTGAGAAGTGATGGTCCTTCTCTGTCTCTAAAGAACATCCCCAGTAGTTCACAAAGCATCGTGATTTCATTGTTTAGGTGAGAGAAGGCGTACAAGTGGAGAGCTGCAGCAAGAAACACAGACTTCACACAGTTCCCTACTTTATTCCTTGTTATTGATGAACTGTCATGTGTTGGAACTGGTCACAAACTCACAGCTGCTACTGATTCAAGCACAACATTGTTTATTACTTGCTTCTTCGAAGCATTACCCTGCCAAACAATAATAGAAAACCACTGTGTAAATCAAGAAACTTATTTTTTTTCTATTTCAAGAGAGAGAATAGTGTTTTCTTACCACTGAAAAGGTAGGGGTGGGCAACACACTTTCGAAGCTGAATTAAGACATTCTGAAGTGTAACCTTCCTTCCTGTTTCACTTTCAAATGCATCTGGAACAAAGAGGACAGAAAACAAACTGAGCAGGAAAGCACATGCTCCATCAGTTGGTGTGACTGGGAATGTCTGGGTACTGAGCACCGCTCTGCAATGCTTCAGCATTGGAGTACCTCTCTCTGTATATCACATCTGCATTTGAATTTCCCATCTCAAGATTAATACAGCTGCTTTCACAAACCAAAACAAAATTTCCCTCACGTTTTTTAGACAAGCTTTTAGAAATAAGTCCCTGATGAAAACTAACCTGCCTTGTCAAACTCCCTGGAACTTTCTGGACTCCCTGGAAAGGGCCACTGTCATTTTTCTAAGAGTGAATTGCAGATGTAGAAATCATTAAAAATAGTGAAAGAAATTTGGTGCAGTTAATTTGAATTTTCCAATTAAAAAAGTAGTATAGCACAATCAAGATCTCCTGGGCAACCAAGAAGTTAGAGAGGGGTGCATTTTTGTGAGGAGAAAAAGAAAACGTGCACACATGCTGATTTTAGAAGAAGGTTCAGATTGCCTGGTGATGTTCATGCAAAGTGCTAGCCCCAGAAGAACAAAGGGTCTCCATCCCCCCAGTTTTACTTTCTCTACAACACATAAGCGCTGCCAAGCCATAAGATGTGGTATGCATAGATGGAAGAGGAGGAATTCACAGAGTAGCAAATACTTTCTCTCTCATACCTCAGGATGCTTTGTCACATTTAGTTTATACACAAAGTGACAAGGAGCAAGCTATTATGGTAAGATTCTGTGGCTGCATTGTCTATAGGGCCCTGTGGTTTCCTCTAGATCCATAAGTGTCTTATTTTATCACAAGCTAAAGTAAAAAAGCAAGCAGCCCAAAGCACTGAATTGGGCATGTTTATTTACAAATATTCTGCAGGCCAAAGTATCTTCTGCTTCACTACATCAGAGCATGGATTTACAAAAGGAGTTAATTTTGTTTTTAAAAGTAGCTGATGGAATACAAGACCCTCAGGTACCTAGATCTTTCATCAAAATGGCCTTGTAGTACTTCCTCTGCAGAGCTGACATTCCATGGTACAGGACCACTTCCACCTTCTTCGGCAGCTCTGCAGCCACCTCGGATTTGACTCTTCGAAGCAAAAATGGCTGCAGCAGATTGTGCAATTCTTTGGCTACACAGAGACAGTGGAAAAAAAGAGCAGATTAGTGCATTAAATGTAAGGAATTTATACAGTACCTTCACAACTATACTTTCAAAATAAATGTATAGGGAACCTTACATCTATTATTGAAATGATTCAAGCCCAATTTTGCAAACAGAGAAACCAAAACATAGCTGCATACTTGAAAGACTTAAGAGCTACATTAAGGTAAGTAATCATTACTTTTAGTGGCTTGTTTTAAAGCTAGTCAGCATTAAAAGAAAGCCAATAAAGAGGATACAACATGCATGTTTCCTAGGCAAGATAACAGCTGGTTCCGATTGAAGTACAACACTGCTCCTGACTGACCTGGCTCACTCTCCTTCTCAATCGCTTGGTAATACTCAACAAACTCCTTCACTTGTTCCTTGGGAAAGATGTCAGGCTCAATAAGGCTGAGTAAGGAGTACAGTTCCTGGAGGCTGTTCTGAATTGGAGTCCCTGTGAGCAGCAGGCTGAAGCCTACTGAGAACTGCAAGAACCATCAACAAAACAAAATTATTAGGGGAAAATATCTGGAGTGTAAAGTTCCTTAATATACAGCTCCACCCACACTACTCTGAAGCTTAACTTAAAGATGACAGGTGGCACAGAACTGCCTGCAGAGAGCTGCAAATGCCTGCCAAAAACATCCATCACAAGGTATGGTGTGACAGTCAAACAGCTCCACCAAACTGACTAGGATGGCACCAGTGCAAGGAAGACAGTGTAAGCAAAATAAGAACAAAGTGTAAAACCAACACCATTAAAATTCTCCATGCTCTCTACGGTCCGATACTGCGGACTCAGTGTTAGGTCACGACAGACGACTGGAAAATGCTGTCGGAACAGGACAGGGAAATGAAACTGCAAGAGACTGTGTTCCATTTTTATTTGCTGGCTAACTCTGACAAACACAGCAACATTATCTGATCCATACTGCTTACAGTGATCCCTGTAAAGAGACTTGGGGAATATGGTTACCTTTGAAAAAATACATGTCTTCTCTCAAGTTTAGAAAATACATTAGGAGGAGAGCTAAGGTGAATCATGCCTATTTCTTTGTGACTACAACCAAAGCTCCTGAAACACAGACATCATGGCCAGTATGTTCGTAAGATATGAGACTTTCAGGAATTTAATTAAAATATATATTTATTTAAAGATACTGTAGTTCATGGTTGCTGATGCCAGCCCAAACCTAATGCCCACGTGTCACTGGCATGACAAGAAGTGTAGCCTTCACTCAGGCATTCATTGTACTTTGGCAGTGTGCTTTAGAAGCTAGAGCAATTCTACTGATTTCAATAAACAAGGGTGGCTCCATTAAATGGGACAATGGAAGTCAATAGTTCATAACTCAAGGTCCCATGAACTAGGCAAGGGTTCCTTCACCCCCCCAGAGCTGGAGATAGCCTCCAGTCACTTTATACTGCCTTGGGTCAGGCAGACTTCTACCACTTCAGTAGCACAGCTGTGGTTCAGCACTCTGTCTGGCAGCTTTACACTTTTAAGTCTCTCAAATTGTTCCAATGCATCAAGTCCAAACACAAGTCAGAATGAGAGAAAAGCTCCAAATAGCACCCACCTCCATGCAAAGCCAACAAGATAGACCTTTATCTGTCTGTCACTAAATATGGGAATATATTCACCAGCTCTGATGGAAACTGGTTGTAGCCTACAGCTTAATAAATATGTCAAAAACCAGACAGAGAATCTGTATGCTATACTGAAGAGGAAAAAGTCTTCAGACATTAAAAAATGGATGAGTTCTTTTACCTCAGAAAGCATCTTATAAAGCAGAGAACTTTGTTTTTTCAGCCTGTGAGCTTCATCCACAACCAAGGCAGCCCAGTTAAAGCTGAACAAACACAAAACACCATCTTCAGTTAGGGGTTGACAATTCATTCTTCTAAGTACAAAAAGACTGAAAAAAAGTGGTGTCTCTGCTTGGCTGAACCCAAGATGATCCCCCCTTCATGAACAACAACCAAGCAAACATGGCAAGTGGGGTGAGAGGAATTCACAAGTATTGGTTTTCAAGAGCCAACACAGTTTTGTAACTATAGCCTGAATAGTTTTTCTGAAATCAAAACTACGTAAATGCACTTTAATTTCTTGCTTCTCTCTCCACTCCTGTTTCTATGGGGAAATGACATAAGCATGGGTTAGTCAAACATTCAAGAAGGTTTATGATTTGGAAAAAAAAAAGAGACATGAATCTAGGCCCTAGCACCTATGTAAAAACCCAACAACTGTGACGAGTGGTGGTGTCAGAGCCATTCAAGCCTTTTGCAAATCACTCAAAACAGGAGCTTCAACTTGTTCTGGGCTTGATACAACTATATGCAGTGTCTCATCAAGTAGGCTGCAGAATCACTGGCTACTAAGCTTAATACAAACTCCAGATCTTTTAAATCCTCAGTGTCTGTGCCTGCTTATCACCAGGGTTTCCACTCCCACATCACAGAATGATTTCCACACAGTCAAGTCTGGCTGATGGGAAGGCAGGGGAGGGAAAGGATGACCCTCCAGCTTTTCTTACCTACGTGCTTCTCTTACCAATGGAATACAACCACAGCGACCTACATTCTCCTCACAGCTCTTCTGTTTCCTTTGATTCCCCTCTTTACTATTTGAGTCCTCCTCCATTGCCAGGACAGTCAAATGTCATTATTATTCTACAGGCACAGCAACTGAATTGCAGAGGGGACACTTCAGTGTGAAGCACTGCAGAAGCTCACGTGCAGAGCAAGAGTCTGATCTTCCAGGCATTTACATTAGAGCAGGGGTCTTGCTCAACTCATTTGTGCTGTCACATTGCTTGTAAGGAGTGGTGGTGATGGGACATCTGATAACTTTGACTCACTTTTACAAAGTGCTCCAAGGTACAAATGATTAGCAACCACTTTTTTTCAGAAGGAATACTAGAGGGCAAAAAACCCCCAAACTTGAGTGGCATGGCTTTGATGTTATGTGCTAGCCTTACAAGTAGGAAATTGCACTGGAGCTGACGTTTCTGTGATACCAGGGCTCATTACTTGTACTTCCTTGGGTTCTACATACCAGGGCAAAGCTGCAAAATAAGCAAAATCATACACAGCAGCGCAGGACGTGATATGAACCTGTAAGGACAGTATTGGCCATGGCTACCTTTCATACAGCCTGGCTTCTATTTATTATGTGTTCATCCAACACAACCTGCTGTTGCCAGCAGTGGCCGAGGGCAGCTGCTTTGAGGAAAGACAAAAGGGCACCCATAGTGGGCCTGATTAGTTCTGGGAGACCCAAAATTGTGTCAGTAGGGGCCACTGGGCTTCTGCTCCAACAAAGATCCTGAGCCATTCTCGATATCTGGCTGACCTCAGCATTTGTCACAGCACTTATCTCTATTGCAATGCATTGGTGCTACTACTAAAAAATTATGAAAATTCCTTCCCATTTCAAGTGTAGGCTTCTGTGAAGTCCTGCATGACCATGACAATACTTCCTACAGGCTGAACTTCAGCTGTATAACCAGTCTCACTAGAAAACATAATGCTCCATAAACCCTCCACAGTTCTGACTGGTGGCAAGAGGCAATGAACTTCAGTATTAGCACATGATCACCATAGTATGATGCAGGTCAATTTCAGCAATTTTGCATCTAATACCTTTATAATCCAAAGCTCTTGAAGATCTTCTCTGTTCTAAATACCAGTCTTCTGGACTGATGTTTAGTGTACTGCTATAAGCCACTATATATCATATTATTTTGAGTTAACTGGCTTGAAAAGTGTCCTTGGGGGAAGTTCACATAAAACTTAGCTGACAGTAAAGATTCTTCACTGAAATCTGGTAAAAACAAAGCTCTCATCATAGGCAAAGAACATCCTTGGCTTTTGAGAAACAAGCATGGGATCTCACACACATAAAACACACACTTAAGAAATGGCTGACAGATGTGCAGAATTGTGAAAAAATTAAAACCAGACTCACAGTTTTAGAAATGCTGCATCTTTCAGGCAAATCTGCAATGAAAGCAAATGAACCATGATTTATGACTTAAGTTAATACAAGAAACAGAGCATCTTTTTGTCTGCTTGCAAACTATGGTGGAGTGGATGAGAGTGGAATGAAGCCATTTATTACCTGAGGAAAGAAACATGACAGCTATTGTAACTACAAGCTGTTGTGACCCTACATTTTAACTCGTCTGCCAAAACACCAGCAGCAGAATCTCAGAGAATTAATGGAAATTTACACACACCACCAATGCTCTTCACCTCTGTAAAGTTTTTCATATCTTTCTCACTCAGTAAGAAACACCATGCACCTTCAGCATCACAATCATTTTCACTCTAACCAAACATATGCTTCAGTGGATTAATCTAAGATATTACAATGAACAGATAGTAACATAAAGTGCAGACATTGCTTGCCCAACTTTTGATTCAGAGGAAGAGAAATCAGGTCACTGAAGGGAAATCTTTAAAAAGCACAGAATTTTATCATCAAAAGCAACAAAGACCAGAAAAATCCTAGCTAAGTTAATATCTCGATACAGTTGTTTGCCTTCTTGGACTTGCTTCAATATGAGCACTTCCATTCATCACAATAAGGACAAGAGTTATCACTGCTACCCATTCC